GGCGTGCCGCTGACCCCTGGTCTGCACCGTTGGAGGCTCCTCAGGTCGCTACGCTCACACTTCCCGATGGTCCTCACCAAACTCACTCCCACTAGGGCCTATTTCTTTCCTGTCTGCCACTGTTGCTGGGGCTGCAGGGACATTAAAAGTGACTGATATAAAAAGTAAAGGTTCTTTTAATCTCTCTTTTATCCTATCTGGAAGATGTTATTTCTTAAACATCTAAAAGGGATTACAATCAGAGATTATGCAACTAGACAGGGGGACTTCCCTGGTGGCGCAGTGGTTAAGAATCCACCTGCCAATCTAGGGGACACGGGATCGAGCCCTGGTCTGGGAAGATCCCACGTGCCACGGAGCCACTAAGCCCGTGCACCACAACTACTGAGCCTGCGAGCCACAACTACTGAGCCCGCGTGCCAGAACTACTGAAGCCCGCATGCCTAGAGCCCATGCTCCGCAACAAGAGAAGCCACCGCAATGAGAAGCCCGCGCACCACAACAAAAAGTAGCCCCCACTCGCCACAACTAGGGAAAGCCCACGCGCAGCAATGAAGACCCAACGCAGCCAAAAAATAAATTAATTAAATTAATTAATTAAAAATAAATATATAAAACTAGATAGGTTAAAATCTATTTTCCAATGCTTTTCTTTCTAAGAAGATTATCTTTTAAGGCCTATTATGATTATTTATTCAATTTAAAAAACCTAGAAATTTAATTTAAGGCAATGTACACTTTCATTTTTTAATAAACCACATGGCAAACCAATACTTTATTTAATAAATGTATAGGAAATTACAATTTGAAAATTGCAAATACAGTACATATACTGTACTTTGATCTTAAATTACATGGACAAACTCCAGCTTCAAAATCTTTCTAAAATCAGTCATTATGCAAAATACCTAGTTCCTGAAGGTGTATATGGAAAAGTATATACAATTTCTTAAACTGTGATATGGCTTACTTATTAACATACATTTATTTAGAGAAGCATAAGCTTTCCAAATATACATTATTTTTCAGGCGCAAAGCTGACATACTGGCACATTTCAATTTTGTGTTGCAGTTATTTTGTAATATACTTAATTGCAATATTTAAATTGACACTGTCACAGGTTTAACTGGGAAAGTCTCCATAAATGTTTTCCAATCTTACCAAAAATCAGAAAATGTTTGTTGGTCCTCACCACATGACTGGAAGAACGGGTTAAACCTTTTGTAAGCAAGAATTAAATGACAGGCTGGCCCGAATGTGTAACCCAGTTGCACACACACAATTCAACACCGAGGAACTCTCACAACAATTCTTCTCTCCAATTTACGTGCTCCTATCTACATCACAAGAAATATCCCTGGCTAGCGATCTGTTAACAGAAATCTGAAGCCCAGTCTGGTGGGATTCACAGGATAGATCTGTAGCCAGGGTTTGCAAATGGTATTTTGGTTATAGAGACATTAAGCTTAATCATCAATTTGGGGATCAGGCTGGCCTCCCCTCAACACAGCATATAGCGAGCTGCCACTATTCATTTGTGACTAATACCCAACAGGCTCAAAAGTGAAGTTTGGTTCAAAGACAAACTGAACCCAATGAACTAATCTTGTATCTATGAACACATTCTATAATTTTAAATTTACTGTATGTACGGTAGAGGCAACAGCAAAAGTGCCTAAAACCTTATTCCAAAGGGGCTCAAATTCTGTAAGAACGTCTTATTCATTACGGTGAACCAATTAATATAAACACATAAGAAGAAACTAAATTTAGCTAATTGTGCTTGTTTCAGAAGTGAATTCTTCTCTCTTCTAAAGTAGTAAGAGTGGTGGTTTGAGAAACACAACCCCAAGTCTTATCAGCAGTGATCTTGGCTTGCTGTTTCTTGTATAGTGCATCCACTTCTACCACACTTACTCTGTAGAGCTCAGCATGCAGAGAAATCTGGATCAGGAACAACCAGCTGTTTAAAAAAAGGTTCTTCCCTACCCAGAAACACATTTATAAGTGGTGCTTTGTCTCTGAAAGATGGTTTTTCCTCACATTAAAATGAAAGGGAAGCTCAAGTATCTGATCCTGCCTGAGTCTATTCTGGGAAAATTCTACTAAAGACAAACACTGTCGGTGAGGACACCTGGGTTCAAGAGACAGAACCAGAACACTGAGACTCCTAAGAGCAGAAAACTAGTTTTAGAAAATGGGAACAAAGCACCCAAACTTGAAAACAGTAAAATAAGAAATCCAGTGATTTGGCAAATAATACTGATGGGAGCTGCAAGTTGTGAAAATCTGGGCTCACATTACACAAGAAATAGCAAATGGAAAATGTATGGAGGAATTACAAGCACTACTGGTTCTGCATTTCAAAGCCTTCTGAAATATGCCTTATTCAGCTGCATTCCGCACATTATATTTCTAAAGCAGCATGGTCATTAATGAAACAATAGGTCTTTTTCCTAAAATAAATCAAAATGCTGCATCTGGCCAGAGCTGTGAAACACAGGTTATATACACAAGTAACTCTGATTATTTGCAAATGTTAACTGAAATACATTGCAATGAAGAACTACCCAGTTTTTATGTTGTGATGTTTTCCGTGCAAAATTAACAATGCTTGGTATTTATACAAACAGCCACTTGCCTTTCCCAGGACAATGGAAAACCCTTTCTGATGGCTGGCTGAGGAGTGTAACTTAGGGCTGTAACTAAGCAGGCGAAGGACAGACCAGCTGTGCAGTTCCTGGTCGTATCTGCTAAGTTCACATCCCTCTCTGTGGGTCTTGTGAAGTTACTAAAAGTTAAATCTATCAATCCTCAAATCTTACAGACCCAGTGGAGTACAGGTGCAAAGTCTATAGTCTTTGCTACAAAAAGCAAAGCACAGGAAACTTCATGTGTACCTCACTTTAAGGAGAACACTATAATTAAAATTTACAAAAGTTTTCAGTGTTTCTGCTTTTTACCAGAGGATCCTTTCAGTCCTCAAATGGATTTTAGACTGTTTCATCAAATAACTTTCCAAGGAATAGGTCATTATGAAAAGTCATATATAGCTATTTAAGATAAAGGAAAGTTTACAAGGAACAAGCTCCATAGATATGAGGAACAATTTGCAAATATGGGAAAATCCATTAGCATAATTAGCATATATAACGCATATTCTTTTCGTTTCTCTTGCTAGGTACTCAAAGTCCATAAATGCCCAGATGTCCACTGAAATGCCTCTCATTTATTCTTACTTGCCCTCTGTATTTTAATTTTATATTTATTTTGATTTAAACAGTTTATATGCTACTGAAATTTTTGAAAAATTCAAAGCATTATTTTAAATAGATTCACAGTAAGAATCCCATAAAGTGAATTTTCAATTCAATTCAACAGACACTGGGTTTTATTAGGAGCCATTAATCCTCATCAACCCTTTTTTTGGATACCATCAACTCAACAAATTTTTAAGTAAATCTAGGTTTTATCTCAGGTTTATCACATAGTGAGTTTCTTGGTAGGAAGATGAAATCTGTTTCCTATTCTTCATTTATATCAGAAGTCAACTGCATGCCCACCTGGGATTTCAGTTCACAACTTGTCTAGTACACTCTACCCTGATTCTGAGGAGTCAAAGAACCATATCCATTCTTGGGATAAGAAACTGTTCCTCTTGAAAATGGATTTCTAATGTGCATAAAGATAATCTCAAAACCAACAGTTGCAAAATGAAACATGAATATTCACAGCTGCCTCTTTAACACAATTGTTACCAATTAGTTGCATTCGCTCTGAAAACTTTTATGCTTAGCCTCCCTACAACACAGATTTCATGTCCATCCCCATTTCCCTGCTTTAAAAAACACACACACAAGGTCAAAAACCCTTGAAAATTTTGTTTTCTCAGAGTAATATCTTGCCCCAATCCCTCTGGGAGTTTATGTTATGGTATTATTATTGGGAAAACTTCAAAATTACATCCTAGGGTTTCTGGAGTCCATGGAGAATCCCTAACCCACATCATCCAGCCAAAATTCTCTGGAGGAATGTGGTTAATCTACACATGAGAGGTGAAGGGCACACTGAACCTTAGCTTCCCAGAGTTTTACCCTGAAAGGGCTCACACAGATTAACTGGTATTGAAGCAGGAAGGAAGCAAGGTACCAAGCAAACTTTCTGTACAAAAGGTAAGACAGTTCTTAAAAGGACAGAGGATCATTGTTTACCTTTTGCAGTCTCTTGCTGTTCTTAAAGTAATTCCATGAACAACAAGTGATTTCGGGAAGACTTAAATCTGAAACCCCATCCTCACTCCTATATTTTGTTTTAAATTATCATATAGCAATTTGAGTTTATGATTAACTTCTGCTATTCAGAATAATATTGAAAATATTTCCTAAACAATTTAATGACAGTGACCACAATATGTAAAGATTTGGTTCTGATAAGGTTACAAATAACCAAAAATGCTAACTTTGAGATTCAAAACCCTGTAACGTCTGGAAAAAGTCGATTACAAATTGTTAACAGTAAGATTAAGACTTATTTGTGAAATCAAACATTTCTGAAACTCTAGGAATACATGCTTATTCCACTCTCTGGATAATTAGTAGTACTTTCTGAAATCTGCTGAGAAATAATTTTGGTAAAAAGAGAGCTGGGTGTCAAATTCCAGAAGCTGGGTTCAAGATTACATAATAAAAAAATTCAGTTTTCCAGCACTGGCTTGATATAAAATGGCCTTTAAAAAGGATTTTTAAATGCAAATACTGAATTCTTGATGCTTCCTTTAAGACATGTACTGTCATAATTAATGAAGTACGGTCTTGGATTGTCTTCTATGAGGTATCTGTAGAGTCATGTCTCATTCTGTAAACAGTGTTTTAGAAACATCTTCATCTGAAAATCATGGTGAAGTCTCATTTTGCCATTAAACAGAAAGTAGCACTGTCAGGCTACAGTGACTGTTTTGAGAGACCGGTGCTTGATACTGACACAGCTGTCAGGGATTCCATTTCTCATTTAGGTGTGCATTTATTGCTCTTACATCTGTGACTGCAGGATAAATAAGGCGGTAGTCTCCAAAATGAATACAATTAGGGACTGGAACTCTGACAGTTTGCACAAGTTCTGTCCACTTCTTGCCTATAACTCTGAAGCTGAATAGTACATTTATACATGCCAAACGTGTTCAATAATAAATGCTTTGCTTTGGACTGTACTTCCTCCCATTTAGATGAACTTCCAGGAACTGCAAGGTCAAGAAAATATCATTACTATTCATTGTATACAGTTACACATTAGTGAACAAGACAAAGGGCAAAAACAATCTTACTATACTGTGAACAGATTTTTATTAGTTTGATTTCTACCCTCTTGAAGCTATTCTGTTAGAGAAGTATTTCAGTTTACAAAGCCAGAATGACTTCTCATTATTCCAATCTCTCTATTCCACTCTTGGGTAGAGAAAAAATACTAGACATCAATTACAAGTCTTTCATCTTTTGCAGTTTTTAAAATAAACCATATGCATGTATTATTTTGATAAAAAAATAAAAAGCATCAATCTGTGAAATGATTTAAAGAAATAAAAACATACAGTTTAGCTTTTCTTATATAGAAAAAACATGGTAAATATACTTTGTGCCTTTTATCTGAAGGCAAAAAATCAATTTGTAATATCTCATCAAAGAGATCGAAAATGATTGCTCTGCCAACAATAAATTGACCTGCAACTCACGTTTTGAAGAGCCTCACCCTTCCCTTAAAACATATCTTTCCATCAGAAAAGTCCTCCTATTTAATCATAAGCACAGATGTTTAATTCCAAAGATAGAAGTCCACCAACCCCAGCATTCACCGTCAGCAACATACTTAGCTGTATGTGTACTATGGCAGTAGGTTTTCCTGAAGTGAGAGACCAGATATTTAAATCTTCCACTGAATATACATCTTCTATTTTCATCAAAGCTTCTTTGATATAGTCTACATTCAAATGGCTTGGTACACCTATTCAGAATGTATCATTTATAAGTAAAGGTTATTTTGAGAAAAAATTTATATATTACTAATAGGACATTTTTTTAAAAAGAAACCAAATGGCTTTACCAAATTCAGTTTAAATGAACACTTTAAAATATATTAAAACTTTAAGATAAACTATGCACACATATAGCAGGATATATACAAGAGGTTAATAAATACTTAAAAAATGTTCATTCTCACTAAAAAGAAATGTCACTCAAACCAGACGACTTCATCTAATAAACAAGCTAGGATAGACAAAAAAGAAAAACGAACATACAATAAAGATAAACCTACTTCTGAGAACTTATAGTTAAATGCTTATACTTAATATCCGTAAGGCAGGGATGTTGGAAGTAGAATAGCAAGTTAAATGGGAATTACAGACTTAATAAATAAATTACTAAACATAACTGTATTAAGAATCATGAGCTGCATTCTTGTCCTAGGTCCACAGTTTATTAGCAGCATGGCCTTAATGAAGTTATGTTACCTCTCTTGAGTCTCAATTTTCTTGTTGGTTAATTGGAATAATAATGTCTGCCTTGCCTACTTTTCTTGGCTATTATAAGGATCAAATGGGTAATAGATGGGAGAGTGCATTGACTCTCACATGTTTTATACATGTAAGGTGGTATTATAGACTAATAAGTATCAGTAAAAAGAAAGACATGGCTCCTACCCTGGAGTATTCCTGCCCCCCACCAACAGCCCCAATCTGATTTAGGGAAATAATAAACCCACAGTGGGGATACTAGAGATCTTACCTTCTAGTATTATAACTACTGTGTCCCATACGATTCGAAAGGTTGTAAAAGCCACAAGTAATGAAAACACATATGTACAGATGGGATCAGCAATCTTGTATTCTGGCTGAAAAATGACAGATCAAAATTGCGTGATTAAATACAGACAGTCATAAAACAGTCTGCAAAGCAAAGTAAGGCATACTCTGTCCCCTGTTCTTTAGCAGGACTGGAGCACATCTTTTAAAACTTGGATAATGCCAATTGAGGAACGTCTTCACTCTTTCCTAGACTGTTTAAATGCCTTTCTTTGTGAAACCTATTGTATTTCCAGAAGTTTAGTCATTTTTTCCACTGTTTTCCTCTGTGCTTTCTCTAAATCTTCCACCCAGAACCATAGACTATCAGAGCTGGAAGGAGTTTTAGCAGCCATCCATCTGGTCTAAGCCCCTCATATTAAAGAGGAGGGAACTCAAGTTTAGAGTTGAGGGACCTGCTCAAGGTCAAAGCATTAAAGGCAGAGCCAAGGCTAGAACTCAGATCTCTGGATTTCCACTCCAGTGCACATTCCAGTACCTAGCAGTTGAGTGACAAGGCTTAGAATTGAGTTCTTCAGTGAAGGCACCACCAAAGCCAACAGATAAGTTACCCCATGAGGTTGATACTATTGTGTTTGGTGCTAATAAAAGAGATATACTGATAGTTCAAGTATGCATGCAAAATGAATAGGACTGGCACTGGTGTCTAGTATACTGATAAGACAGTCACCTTTAGTTTTAATGTTGAAATTAAATATATATTTTAAAATAAAAAAACTAGCAATCATGTTACCTTGAATCGTATGATGTATGCAGCTATTAGCACACCAACACTCTGTACCAGATCCCCCAAGGCATGTACAAATGCAGCTCTCACTGCCAAGCTATCCTGCCCATGGCTCTGTCCACATCTAGAACCTGTGGTAGGAGAATCTGAAGGCAGGGAGTGGGAATGGGCATGATGGTGACCAGATTGGTTCAATAGCAACCCCATTCTGTTAAAAATAAAAGAAAAGATTATTATTCTTCCTAATATTATTGACAGAAATATTTGTTACTAATCAGACACTAATGAGGCAACATGGAACTCATTCATTTAATAAATATTTGAGCACCTATTATGTATCAGGTACTGTTCTAGGTGTTGGGGTCAAAACAGTGGTAAGTCAGACATATCCCTACCCCTATGGAACTTATGTTCTAGTAGAGAGAGCAGAGAATTAACAAATAAATACACAACGTACTGGTGGGCAATGCGAATGCTTTGAAGAAAAGTAAAGCATTGCAAGGAGGTGGAGAGTGATGGAGAGTGATCAGAAAAGGCCTCACTAAGATTCTGAGTAGAGACTTGAATGAAGTCCGGAAGCAAATGGTGGTGGAAGAGTGTTCTAGGCAGAAGGAACACCAGGGCGAAGGCCCTAAGATGAAAATGTACTGTATGTGTATGTGCTTAAAAAAGCAAGACAGCCATGGTGGCTAGAATAAAGTGAGCAAGAATGTTGGGAGATAAGTTGGAGGGGTGGCTATGGTAAAAACTTTTGATTTTATTCTAAGTATTAATGGAGGCCTCTAGTGCAGGGATTGGCAAACCATGGTCTGTAGACTATAGTTGGCTCACTGCCTGTTTTTATAAGTAGTTTTTTTTTGTAAATAAAGTATTATTGGAACACAGCCATGCTCATTTGTTTACATACTGAATGTGGGTGCTTTTGTTCTGTAGCCACAAAGTTAAGTAGCTGCCAAAGAGGCTGTATGGCTCTCAAAGACTAAAATATTTATTATCTGACCCTTTACATAAAAAGTTTACTGACCCCTGGTCCAAATGATTAGTATGTAACTTAAAGATTTTGTAGTTTTTAGGAAAAAAAGTTGGTAGTTACAAAAAAATCTTATTAAAATAAAAATATTATAAAAGTTAAAAAAAACTTTGTCCTACTTAAATTCCTGATTGTTAGGCAAACTTCAGTATACCTGATCAAACCCATGAGAAATTTGTAATTCCAATAGTGTTTTATTAACATTTAGAAGAAAAATTAATGTACTACATAACTTTAAAATACATTAAAATATCACTGCAGGCTACCGAATGCATACAAAATAGTCTCTAAGTTCACAGTACTTGAAAATATTAATGTGAAAACAATATAGGGTATATGATACTATAATGGTGGATACATGTCATTATAAATTTGTCCAAACTCATAGAATGAGTTTAACACCAAGAGAGAACCTTCAAGTGAACTACGGACTCTGTGCTATAATGATGTGTCAGTGTAGGCTCATGGTTTGTAACAACTGTACCACTCTGGTGGGGGATATGATAACCAGGGAGGCTATGCATGTGTGGGGGGGCAGGGTATATATAGGAAAGCTCTGTGCCTTCCACACAAGTTTGCTGTGAATCTAAAATTGCTTTAAAAAATAAAGCCTATTAAAATTTTTTTAAAAATAGAGCTTACATCATATTAACTGCAACTCCAACAGCTGCGGTAATGAGCATTATATCTCCATTTATTTCATATTTCATATGGATAGTTCTTTGGACAGCTTCATATAGGAGGAATCCCATAAGTAAATACACCAACAGCACACTAATCATAGCTGACAATACCTCTGGAGGGAAAAATATAAAAGATAAATATATTTGCAGAATGGTCATTATACTTCATATATACGAAATACTGTACAATCTCTTACTTATATCTTCTTTCCTCTAAGGAGGTAAAAGCACTACATTATTTTCGTCATATTATTCTTCCTACTTAAAAAGTGATTAGTAGTTTGCTTTGGATCCTCCAGTAATTCACTCCCACCACTCCCCGCCTCCTCCTCATCTCTTTAGGGTCAAATTATGTATATTTACAGACTATATGCATGATAAAAAAATGAAAAAACTGAGAAAAAAATTTGTAACATACTTGACCACAGGCTAATTTCCCCATAGACGAGTATACTTACAAATCAATAAAAAAGTGAACCCATAAGAAAAATGGGTAAAGGACACAAATAGTAATACACAGAAAATAAACAGAAATGGCCAATTGATCAAAATCAATCATAATACAAGAAATTCAAATAAGAATTCCTTTTTGCCCCTTACTAAATGGGCAAAGATTAAAAAGTTTGATAACAGCCATAGTTAGCAAGGATATACTGGTGGAAGTATAAAATAGAACTATCTTTTTGGAGAGCAGTTAGTAAAACTAATAAAATTTTAAAATGCATATATTCCTTATATTCTAAAAATCTATCCAGTAGAAACACATCCAAATGTATGCAAAGATATCTACAAGGTATTTTACTGTAGCTTTGTCTGTAGTATAAAAAACGATCTGGAGACATCTTAAATGCCCACCAATGAGGAACTTAATGGATAAATTATGGTATATACATATAATGGGATACTATAGAGTCATATATATAAATATGTATTTTAAAAAAATTGAAGTATAGTTGATTTACAATGTCATGTTAGTTTCAGGTGTACAGTAGAGTGATATATATAGATTCTTCTTCAGATTCTCTTCCATTATAAGCTATTACAAAATATTGAGTATAGTTCCCTGCGCTATACAGTAGGTCCTTGTTGGTTCATTTATATTTAAAAGAAAGAAAATAAATCAGGCAAATTGATAATCACAAGAAAGATAGACGAGAAAATGTTATACCTGGGAAGTGAGACTAAGAGTTTGGGGAATTTATTTTTCACTTTATTCTTTTTGGTAACGCTTGAAAAGTTTTAAGTTTTTACTATAAACACATTTACCTTTAGACTAAAGAAAAACAAGCCCATTTTTTAAGGCATGTATGAATGCACTTTGACTCAGGAATTCCTTTTCCAGTAGTGATATATACACTCTTGCCAACTGAGCTGCACATGTGCAAAATGAGGTAGGTTATGAAGCTATTTATCAAACATTGTATATAATAGCAAACAAGTGAAAACAATTTAAAAAAGTGATTAGTAGGGGCCTTGTAACAAGGAATACTATGCAGCTTGGAAAAAAACAGTAGGCTCTTTATGTTCTGATAAGGAGTCATCTTCAAATTACAGTATTATGTGAAAAAAGAAAACTACACAACAGTATATATGGTATGTTAGCATTTGTGCAAAAAGAAGAAAGAGAATATATAAATAATGATCTGTACATGCAAACTCTGGAAGAATATACAAAATACTTATAAAAACTGATTATGAGGAAAATGGGTGGCTAGGAGACAGGGATGACTTTGCACTATATATGCTTTTTTTTTTTTTTTTTTTTTTTTTCTTGCGTTATGCGGGCCTCTCACTGTTGTGGCCTCTCCCGTTTGCGGAGCACAGGCTCCGGATGCGCAGGCTCAGTGGCCATGGCTCACGGGCCCGGCCGCTCCGCGGCATGTGGGATCCTCCCGAAACGGGGCACGAACCCGCGTCTCCTGCATCGGCAGGCGGACTCTCAAGCACTGCGCCACCAGGGAAGCCCACTATATATGCTTTTATACCATGTGAGTTTTCTACCATGTGAGTATGAAGTAGAAATAATTTTATATCTTTCCAAAATAATAAAAATAGGGCAATGTACATTTAAAAATAATTATTATATAAAACTAGTGTTGACACTCAAAACAATAATAACAAGAAAATTCACAATTTTTTTTTTCTTTAAAGAAACCAGATATTAAACTTTTAAGTGTTAAAAGTTAAAACAATCTGGAAAATTGTTATCTGGGTCAACTCACTGCTCAAAGGTTAAAGGCAGTTCAAGTGTATTGGACTATGATACATTTTTATTCCACCTCATAAATTACAACACAGAAAAACTATCTAGCAATAAAAAGTTTTTTTCCAAAGACATTTCATTAATGTAGCCAAAACCCTAATAAAATTCTGTGCATCAACAGGTACTGGAATAAGACAAAAACCATACAACTCCTATTCAAAACCATGATTCATGTATTCCTGACATACTAATTATCATACTTCATAAGAGACACAGGCTTGAAGAAGATAGAGAAAAAACCCCAACTGAAATATACAAAGCTGTGGAGAGACTACAATATCAAGTCTAGACTCTAAGCCCCTAAGGATATAACCAAGTTACATTCCACATCACATTTACTGTAGCATTCAGCAGAAAGGCTGGCATGTAACATGTACTCATATATTTATGGATGGATCTATAGACTAAAGTTAGGCTGAGCAAGGGAAGAGAAAGGGGTATATATACAATTAAGAAGGTAAAGCTAAATATGAACAATAATTATTTACTAAATCCCCCAAAACAAGAATAGGTTAAAAGAAAAGAATTAAACCAAATAGGGACTTCCCTGGTGGCGCAGTGGTTAAGAATCCGCCTGCCAATGCAGGAGACACGCGTTGGAGCCCTGGTTGGGAAAGATCCCAAATGCTGCAGAGCGACTAAGCCCACGTGCCACAACTACTGAGGCCGCGCGCCTAGACCCTGTGCTCCGCAACAAAGAGAAACCACAGCAACGAGAAGCCCGCGCACCGCAACAAAGAGCAGCCCCCGGTTGCGGCAAATAGAGAAAGCCCGTGTGCAGTAACGAAGACACAACGCAGCCAAAAAAAATAAACCAAAAAAACACATAAATTAAAAAGAAAAAGAAGACAAATATAAGACTGAAAACACACAGAATTTCTTGTCTTAAGTTATAACTGCTGATGGCAACATATACGTATATAAATAATATAAAGAAAGAAGAAATAATTTAAAAATTTTGAACTGTAAAATCTCATGTACTAATGGTAGGCTCCTCATTTTACTCGTGAAGAAAGAGAACTTTAATTCTCTTTAATATTGGTATGTAAAAAATATCAATCCTTCTCAAACTCTTCTGAAAAAAATAAAAGGAGAACCCTAACCCTGTGTCAAGCTTGAAGCTAGCTAGCAATTAGGACACCATAGTTCTAAAGGTGACTTAATCAAATTTTTAATATGAAATTATAAAGCAATATACTTTATAAAGATTAACAGCTATACAAGTTAATGACAGAGAGATCTGATTGCTTACGAAAATCTAAAACCAATAACTAAAAATTTCAAAACCGCTTGTAATTAGGTTGGCCATACTTTCCAGTTTTCCCAGATAGTTCCAAATTATGCCTGTTATCCTGGCATAATTGTTAAAAGTGTCCCATTTAACTCTCAAAAGTGTCCTAGTTTGGATGATAAGATATATTGTTACCCTAGTAGGTCTGCCAGATAACATAGCGGATGCCCAGTTAAATCTTCATTTCAGATAAACAACTGATTTTTTCCATATAAGTATGTCCCCTGCAATATTTCAGACATACTGTCATCCTGAGAGAGAGAGAGAGAGCAAGTTAAATCTGGCAACACCCACATCCCAGTGATAGTTTTCCTAAACACTGAAAATGATCTTTTTGTGAACTCTCAGATAAGGCAAAACCACATTCAAAATAAAGTAAAATGAAAGTCAAACTAAAGCATAAACAAAGCTCTTGACAAGGAGGATTCCCACCCTTTGAAGGCCCTAGGTCCCTGCAGCTGAAAACTCAGTTTTCCACCACACAGTTTTCACCCATGTAAGTAGCACAAAGGATCCTAATGCCTGCCCATAGTTAAGAGTAATGGAATTCAACTGATTCCTAGAAATTCCCAAAATGACATATTAGGATACTGTTATCAAAGATATGCCTTATTCAGCAATTAATAGGAATATGCCTCATATCTAGTTTCCCTTGTGAAAAGCAAAGACATTCATCTGTTATTTTTTTATTCTAACGACCTGTCAAAATGTCTTCTAAACAGAATACTGATAAATGCAAAAGCAAAAAAACCTCAAAATTGTAAGCAGATTTTTAGGGCTGAGATTTATAATTGAGAAGTATAAGGCACAGTAATACCATATAGCTAAAATTCCTAATAGTAGTTGTATAATCATTCTGATAAAACGAACAAAAAGCTCTTTCACTGTGAATAAATTAAACTTTGGTGAAATATCATGAGTAGAACTAATTAGTGTTTGAATTTTTTTCATAGTATTTTAAATATGATGGAATGCAGATAAATATAGGCAGGATTTTTTTTCTCCCACAACGTTTAAGAGAGAAGGAAGCTTTCAATCAACAACCAAATTATGACTTGCTCCAGTCTTATCATTCTTGCCCTGTTGCCCTGGGCTGGTATCTGGTCACATAACATACAGTAAAAATTTTCAAGATGAAAGGAGTGCACAACAGGTGGATTTTTCATTTTCTAAAGGAAACCCAGGAACTTTCATAAATGAAACGCTGGATTTCTGTGAAAGTTACTACCCTATTCATTTTGGACAAACTTGACTAAATGGAAATTTAGCATAAATGAAAAACTCTTGAAATAGATTTTTATGGAAATTCTAGAAACCTATTATTATAGTATTTCTAACATATTTTGCTGTTTTATTCTACACACAAATAATTATATCACTCCACCTGGCTGAACTGTAGCATTGGAGGATGGAGTAAGATGAATGAATATGTGTTGTTTGTTATAACATCACTTGGGTCTTTTTATTCAGCTGAAATATAAACAAATGTTTATAGTCAATGATATAATAAAGACCAAAATATACCGTGAATTTCGCATACACAGAATAAACAGTTTTGA